TCAAAGCCTTTCATTGCCTGTACATCATCCAAATCATTGTCCTGTTGGAGGGTCTGCTGGGACGTTGCTACCATTCATTGGGTTGGTCTTGGTGGTGACCCTAGGATTGTTCTGGACCGTCACCATTCCTGCCAGCCCAGGAGTCAGTTTGGGCTTTCTACCAGCCCTTTGACATTTTTTCAGTCTGTGGAACTCCTTGTACTTTTTGATATATTTTTTTTTTAACTGTTGGCACTTGAAAACACTTGGATGCAGCTTTATAGCTTTCCCCTGTCTTGTTAGAACCTCTCTGTCAGTAATGGACTCTAACAGCAGCTTACTAAGCTCTTCTGCTTCAGCCAGTGACTGACTAGAGAGTTACTGCATCAGCTGTTCTCAGGAACATTACTAGAGCCATTGGTAATGATAGATAAGCTGCATTTTCTCAAAGAAACGGGACGAATTCAAGGGGTGTGAACATTTTTGGGAATTCCTTTTTTTTATTTTAGAAAAGAAAGAAAGAACGAACGAACGAACAAACGAAAGAAAGAAAGATTCCAGAGGTTTTGGTCAAACACCTTAAAGAGCCTCATGCAGGACATTAAACACATACAGATGGGAAATATCATGGTGCTATATTCTGAATATTTCAAAACACAAAGAAAAGTTTAAAAGGTCCAGACATAACAATTTTATAACAACTCCCAAAGTAAACTATGCTAAATTCCTATAAGACAGAGTTTAAACACAGCCACTGCTGATTAAAACAGCATCAGTTTAAGCCCAAAGCACAGCTGTGAGTCACTATAACTCTGCTGCTCTCCCTCTCTACTGGACTGTATTAGTCCCTCCGTGAGAGAACAGAACGAGACGCTGAGAACTGAGGTTGATTATAATTTGACCCTAAATTGAATCTTTTGTTGCTCTAAAGGGAGCTCTGGGTTTCTATACAGGAGGCTCAGCGACTCCTGTGCACCTCAGAATTCTGAACCTGAAAATGAAAGAACATGACTCTTCTACTGAGGTGAAGAAATGGATTTGATTCACTGGAAAAAAAAAAAACAACATCTTTCTGCTATCAGTGGAGAAGCACAACGAGCTTCGATTAGAAGGAAAACACTGATTTCACCGACATATTGACTGAAGTTAAGCTAATTTTAAAGTTAATTTTTAAGTTAATTTCTCACATTTTTCCATCAAAAGCTTCATTTAAACCTAAATGCATATGACAAAGGGCTGCAATAACATAAAACAAAAGCTGAATTCTGCAGACGACAGAGCACATGAACACTTACAGTGAGGCAGACAGAGCAGTGGAGGTCCACAGCAACAGCTTTACCTCCTGGTGTTGCTGCTGAAAGACGTCTGAGGGGTTTTGAAGTTTATGTTCTCGTACACACTCGATGAATCGTCATTTGTCATCCTGCGGTGACACAGAAAACAGTCACACATGTTGAACCTGCTCTCTGCTGTCAGTGGATGAAGCTTCTCGTCGCAGCAGTACTCACACAGAAGAAGAGCGAGAAGACGCCATGTTGGGTTTGAACCTGGAGTTTGTCATCTGGGGATATTTGATGTTGGAATATTCTCTCTCCATCTTGTTCCTCTGAAAAGTGACAGTCAGAAAGCAAGATGAAGTTTAACACTTCACGTTTACTATTAGCCGCTGAAAGGTTTGTCGTCTTTACAAAATGACGCCACTCATCTAAACTTAACATCATGATTCATCAAAATGACTGTATTGTATAAGTTTCATTTAGAAAACGATGCGTTTGCCCTCAATGGATTTTGTAAAATTTTTTTTTTTTTACAGTATTGGTAGCAGCTGTGTGACACGAGGAAATATACTCAACATCACTTCATTTTTTTATAAAATCTGTACTGTAAATACCTTCTTTTCTTTAATATTTTACATTTTATACTTTATATACATATTTATCTTTCCTTTCACGTTATTTCATTTTTTTTTTTCCTTGTGTATTGCTGCCAAAAAAGGGATGCTATGACATTTCACTGCTGTAACACTGTCTTTTTAGCATTGCTAAAAGTGACAGTGGCAATAAAGAACTATTCTATTCTAAAATCAACAAAGATAGTTAACTTTTCGTGATTTATGGCATTTTAACTTTGTTATGCTGCACAAAACACATTTCTGAATGTTCTCTACTTCTAACCATGGTGCTGCTGTTTCCATAGAGGTGCAGGACTTTATGTAGTAAACAGCTCCACATGGGATCTACAGTCAGTTGTGCAACAGCAACTGTGAAATAAACTAACATAGCTAGCATGGCGATGTCACTTAGGCTTAAAACATTCCTCTTTGACAACGATAACTATAAGTTAGAGCTGCTCAGGATCGCCTGAACTGTCCCTTAGTTATGCTGCTGCAGCTTCAGACTGGATCTAGAACAACACGTCTCTGATCTGCAGTTTCTGGCCTCACCGACCCTCAAAGTATTAATTATTCTGTTTGTATTCTTTGTCTGCTCTCCATCTGCTATCCCCACCCCCTCATCTCCACTCTCACCCCAACCGGTGGAGGCAGATGGCCGCCTTCCTGAGCCTGGTTCTGTCGGAGATTTTTTTTTGGCTCCTTCCCACCATCGCTGACTGCTGCTCATAGAGAATCTAATGGCAGCTTTGGATTGTTGGGTTCTCTGCTCTTTGTTTAAACTTCATCAGGTCCTGACATGCTGTGAATTGGTGCTATACAAAAAAAAAAAACTGAACTTCGCCTCCCTGCTTCAGTTGGTGAAACAATGCAGCATGTTGGCCTTCAGAGTGTAAGCTTACACATGTGCAATACTATTTTTAACACTGTAATGTCTTCAGTTTCTTCTCTGTCTGCTTCGTTTACAGAAGTCGCTGAGTACCTGCTCCTCCTCCAGCCTCTTCTGAGCTGTGTCGATGTACTGCTGCACAGCCATGTAGATGAACTTGTACTGGGCTTCTGTCTGCACCATGCCTGATCTCTGCTGCCGGACCCTCTGGATGGTCTTGGGGATGTCAATGTCACAGTCAAGACCTTGAACGCAAAAGTTCAGACGTTAGTGGAGGTGCAGTAAAAACACGAAGTGTAATAAATAAAGTTTCAGAGCTCACCTTGGCGGTTAATAATGTCAATAAGGATGTCGATGACGATGATGGTGCCGGTTCTGCCGATGCCTGCACTGCAGTGACGGAGTAAATGTACAGTTAGAACACAGCAGCAGTGTCCAGGTGGAGACGTTTAGTTTTTAAGAGAATATTGGATATTATTGAGTCAGTTATGAAGAGTGTGACATTAGCATCATGGGGAGAAGAGTTTTCAGTGGACAATGGAAATGACATGAAAGTCTGAGGTTAGGATTTTACTGTTTAAAGCATTTTCGTTTTCAAATGTCTTGCTGTGTCACATACAAACACAGGCTTAGATCTCTGTGAGAGCTACGTTCAACCCAACATTTAATCAACAACCAGCTGATCAGTGACGGTACTGACTGAGAGCTGTTCTGTCAGTTTCTTTTCTGTGTCTGTGTCGGTGTGTACGGTGAACGGCATGAAGGAATCACAAGCAATACAAATACATTAAAAGTAGATTCTTAGACATTCAAAAATTATTTTATAAAAAACTAAGTTGTGTTTGAAGTAGTTAAACTTTTTTAGGTATGGGGCGGCTGTAGCTCAGGTGGTTGTCTTCTGATTGTAAGGTTGGTGGTTCGATCCCCTACACAGTCCAGGTGTCCTTGGGCAAGACTCTGAACCAGAAGTTGCTCCCAATGGCAGGTAGGCTCTTCTATAGTTTATTTGTTAAAGCAGAGCTTCATGAGAACATTTAGAATGACTTCTTTATTGCTAGAGTTATTGTCATTAATGGGTCCACGTTTGGAACCTTAATTACAGCGCACCCAAGTGGCCAATCGTAATATATAAAAGGTATGTTTGGTGTCTATAATTTACCATCTCATTGGAAACTGAGCAGTGAGTTGTGTAAAGTGTTCAGCTATTTAGTAAAAAGGAAGACTCCAATGTGGATGCAATGTCTTTATGGTGAGTGTAAGTATGTCTTCAAATACATTTACTACTCAACACTCTTCCAAATACTCTTACATGTGCACCGTGCTGAGCCATCAAAGAAGAGACCAAATCACAATTCTGGACTATAACGTTTCAAGTCCAAAACAAGTCCTCGTGTGCAGTAATGTTCAATTTAAAACACACACAAAAAAGCAGAGAAATTACCACAAAATGGTCAGAATGAAAAAGCAAAGTTTGTCTGCATGAACATGCTTCCTCCCTGGCTCATAACTCACTGTCCTGTCCCTCCATAATGAAGCCATTCACACCTGGCTGCTCTCCCTGTAGCTACAGTGCAGGTCTCCTGAGGTGTCTGCACCCACAGACCTAACATGGCTAGAGACTATGAACCAGGGCCAGGTTGCCTCTGTGAGATGGGCTCCCATGATGCTGTCCCCTCACCACCTCCACCTCAGCAGACTGGATGTTGGGGTGTCTGTGTGGTGACACCTGGTCTTAGACCTTTACCTCTTGTGCCTGTAGCTGCTGCACCCTGGTCACCAGGTTTGTGCATCTCCAGGTTTTACTTGTTTCCTATATTTAATGTTCATCAAGCTGAGATCATATTTTTTATCTTTATTTTCTTTTTATTTATTTGTGTGCAGATGTGCTGAGGTTAAACTTAAACAGGCCTTAATGTGATTATACTGAAAATAAACCTTTTTTCTGCTGCTGTGATTATAAAAAAAAAAGTAAATTATCGACAATTATTTATAATTAAATGAAAAATACTTTATTTATCCCAGAAGGGAAATTCAATTCAAAATAATATAGTTAAAACTGAAACATTTCATAGTGACAGTGTTCTTCATTACATCGCCTGGTTCTGTGTTGTCGTCTATCCATCTCAAGGTTGGACTTTTTTTTAAAAAAAACAGCCTTTCTGCCATCACAGCTGTGACCACAGAGGGTTAACTGAGCTACCGGAGCTCTTCTGTCGGGTCCAGCCATTTTCCTCTGACCTCTCTCCTCAGCAAAGTGTTTCTGTCCACACAACTGCCAATCACTGGCTGTGATTTGTTTCACACTGTTCTGGGTGGACTATAGAGGATGCTGAGTGAGAAAAGTCCTGAAGATCAGCGGTTTCAGAAATACTCAAACAAGCCCTTCTGACATCATCGTCTTTTCCACTGGTCCCATTTTCTCCAGGTTGATGTTATGATGTGAACTGATTTTAGACGCTGCAGTTCTGCCATTGGTCAACTGGGTGACTATCTGTAAATGCAAGTTTACAGCTGTGCCTGACATAGTGCTCAGTTCGTAGATGTGTGTATACAGAGGAGTGTGCTGCAGGAAGACCGGGATTACTAATTATATTCGTTGCTACCTGCTGAGTGTATAGCAAATCACATTTCTTATTTTTTCCCTTTAGTTGAACTAGTTGAGTCTCTTTTGTCCAAACATGAAGCATCCCATCATAAAACACTGTCCCTCCATCCCAGTTGTACCTGCAGTGGACGACAATGGGTCCAGTGTCTGGAATGGTGCTCTGGGTGCGGTTGACCTCTTCCAGGAACCAGAGGACCCCGCCGGGCTCGTTGGGCACCCCGTGGTCCGGCCAGCTCAGGTACTGATAGTGCCAGATGTACCTCACAGGCTCCTTCTGCAGCAAAAATGAATTCAACCATGTTGTTGCTTCTTACATTTTTAGTGCAATGTTCATGTTTACTTCTATTATATGGAGTCGGCTTCAACTGTTCGTCTCCATACTGACTGTATAGTGTAAAAAATCATGACCCCAGTCTTTATAAAGTTCTGCCAAACCCTAATGTGTCACTTTTGAGTTTGATATAGCAAATTCCAGTGGGTACTTTCCAAAGTCATATTAAGTACTAAATTCTATCCTTGTGTTGGCTGGCTCCATATTATTAGTCACAAAAGTAAAAGCACCTTAAAATATCCTTCAGTAACACTCTGGGGTTATTTCAAAGAGTGCCCTATGAAGGGTTAACATTTAACCGCTGTTCAGGAATGAAAGTAAATAACTATAATCTGACATCTTAATCAAGAAATAATAATGTGCTTTACTATTTTATCAGGTTTTTTTTTGTAAAACAGTGAATTTTAAAATTCATGGATAACAACATTAATTCTATTTTAGCATTAAAAATGTGATTTTGGTTAAAGAGCTTCTACATATGGGTGTATTAACTGTTACAGAAACATAAAAAATGATTCTGGTATTTACCAATGCTGTTAATTGACTCTGGGTGGAGGTCTAATACATTGTTAAGGGCTGTATATATGAGATATTACATCTGTATACCAACACCACAACAGGATATCCAAATAAATAAATAGATAAACACATCTGTGCACTTTTGCTTTCTACTTTTTCTGTATCTGCTTCCTGTGAGATCCATGCAGTCCATCCTCCCAGAAGCACAAACATGTGGTGCAGGACTGTTTGTGTGCGTGTGTGTGTGTGTGTTTGTGTGTGTGTGTGTGTGTGAGGGGTTAGACAATCTGACCCCAGGTCAGTGGGTCAGCTCAGACTGATCCCGTGGCCTCCCCTACCCGATCCAGACGTGTCACCTCCAGCTTCCTCAGGATGTAGTCTTGAGCTGGCTGCTCGTCCACGTTCCTCACCAGCACCTTTCCAAACTCCTTCATGCCGTGGAGGTCCGGCCAGTAGCGGACGCATTTATTCTAAATCACAACAAAAACACAGAGAGAGAGAGAGAGACAGAGGGAGGGTGGTGGGTATTAGGTGATCTAAAGACCCGGCTCATCTCAAGCAGCTTTTCAATCAGCTTAACTGTCATACTATCCTTGTCAGCCATCTCCCTACCCACCCCCGAGTCCTCACACACACACCATCCCTACCACACACAGCTACCCCCGTCTCTTAGTTACTGCCTGCAAATAACGTCTTTCATCTGAAAATGCCCAACAACATGGCTGACTGCACTGTAGATGTGTAGGTCGCCTCCTGTATCTCACAGTGGACATTAAACAAACTGTAAATGATTTCTGCACCAAAGGATCTTAACCAAAAGTGTTTAAAGGGGATCTGATGTGACCAACATTAAACGCACCACCACACTAGAAACATTCAGGATTTCTCAGCTGTTGGAATTCTTTGGGATGATGTAGGTACACAAGTAAACAAGATATAGTTGTGTCAGACATTTTAATGCAGTATATTTGGCTGCCTCTATGGTTCAGGATAGAAGCATCTCAGTGTCTCACAGGCTGAACTACTGCTGAATATCTGCACGATGTTTGATGCTCACCCTTCCTCGCTCCATCTCCTTTGTGGTCATGACAATGACATGCGTGTTCTCCTGATACACCATCTTCCAGAAGTCAGTGACTGTGTTGTGTAAGCACCCTTGGGTGGCGATGAAGACTTTGCCCTCCTCCACGTGGCGCCCCTCTTCGTGCACGCTCTGTTTGGATCAAGTGTTTTGGTGATGAGAAGATGAGAGAAGACGAGCATTTCACAAGCTGAGCTAGAGTGTAAAACGATAACGTTAAATTAAAAATCTCTGTGTGTTTTCTGCTCCCATCACATTCCTTCACCACTACAACATTTAAAGTTTCCAAAGTCCCAGAATTTTCAACCACATGAAGCGAATGATGATGGCTTAATGGCTGCAAGGAGGACCTGAGGACAACATCTCACAGTTTGAGGCTCAGGTTTGGTTGAGTTTGTTGATGGAATGAGTAGTTCAAGAATCACTAGAAAGTTAAAACAATCTAATGATTCGATTTCTGGCTCTGACAAATATAGTTCTGTCACTTTTTATAGAGCGACGGCCCCGTATCACGTGTTGTTGGTATCTTTGATTAATCAGTTACTGATCTGTGGTCGTGTGTGATGCTGAGCACACTCACTCTGATGTAGTTGGCATTGATGTAGTCTGAACCAGGAATATCTGCATCCATCTCCCTGATTTCAACACGCGTTGTGTCGACTGAAAGCACAAAGTTAAAGGTATTAACGCACGGCATTAAGTTCACACGCTTCAAAAAAGCTGATGGACTATCAGCTATCAGAGCAGAATCTCTGAAGGCCTCTACGTCGCCTCTCGTCTGTTCGTGTCATTCTTTCCACAGGAAGGTGGAGAGACAGGAAACGGCAGGTTGCTGTGTGACTCACAGGGGAGGATATTCTTGTATCTGTTTTTACTCTTGTTTTCTGGCTTCTGGCCTTCTTTCCGGGGATACAGCAGTTTGCACTCTTGCTGCTGAAGTACCTGAAAAAAAAAAAACAGTAGAATGGAAAAATACATGATGACTGTTTTTGTTAGGAACAATTCAAAATAACAGAATATCCTCTATAACACAAGGACCGACTCTGAAGACAGAATAAAGTCTGTATATAGTCCTGAACAGTGCAGTGGGCCTTTAATACAGCAGGGGTCACCCTGGAGAGCAACAGGAACACTGAATACTTTAGTGTGCAGGTTGCACAATGAAGAAGAAGCATTTCACCATAAAGTTTCCTTCAGTTACACACAGAGTCATTTATACTCCAATACAGATGCTAGAAGATATCAACAACTGCAGCATGAATCTACAGTTCCTCAGCTGTAATCAGGAATACCTGGTATATGCCACAAAGGCAGTCAGACTACTTAATGTCCTTGCAATGTTTTTCTGACGTTGCTTCCAAATAATATACCCTGTGTCTCATCTATGAGATACACAGACATATACAAGTCTTTATGTTGTATATATTGTGTAATTTACTCTAACACAGAAGAAGCAATAGAAACAAGCGATATCATCAGACAGTCCAGTAACAAGACAAACCTACACAAACCTGATATTGGGCTAGTAAATACCAAAGAACCATTTACTGTCTAATGGTTCACATTATTAACCTGTCATTGCGTGAACATCGCTATAGAATAGAATAGAATAGAATAGAAAAATACTTTATTAATCCCAGTCTGGGAAATTACTGTGGTACAGCAGCAGAAAGTACTATTTAAAAATTACAAATAAAATAGGTGAATAAAATAAGATAAATAAAATAAAATAAAAAATGCAGGAATAAGATAAGCTTCAGCCAGCATCATTACTGAAAGGTGAAGACATTTCCCATCACAGAAAAGAAAACTCAGTGGAAAAAAAAACACATGTGAGACCACAGAGATGAAAGAGATGATCATCTATAGTCATTAGGGAACAACCAGCTCAACACATGACATTTTAAATGATATTGATCCAACAAATTCAAGTTATTAATTACTATAGACTCAAACTTACAATAGAAACAATAAAACAGAAATCTGTTTGGTTGGGATGTGTTGTACAAGGGCTCCTAAAAACTTCCCGAAAGAGTCCTTTACATGGATCAGTGACCCCCATTGTCTCATTCAGTCAGTGCCTTTAACTGAGGTGTAAGTTTTACATCGTGACGGATGATGATGATTCTGGCAGTGACAGCTGTGAAGCTACACACCTCAAATTCTTCCCAGAATCCTTGTTTGGGTTTCTCAGAGTTGTCTGCGACTTTGTTGAGCTCTCGTACCCGGTTCTCAATGTTGGCAGCGTTTATCCTGGTGGCGTTAAAGGGCTGTTGGTGGGACAAGAAGATTAAATTAGTCAACAAAATAAAACAACTTAATTCTTTCATGTGGTATAATAACAGCAATTTCCCCGAGGTTTCCACCAAAGGGATCAATAAAGTTCTATTCTATTCTATTCTAATATTAATCCTAATATTTCAGGATGTTCAATAACCTTCAAAGTACCACTAGATGTACCAGATTGGAAGCTTTTGTTTGTTAAATGTCTCTTCCATACCTGTTTGAGGTGCACCACGATGCCACTTTTCTCCACCATGGGGTTCTTCTTGTAGTGATCCACCAGGTCAGCCAGGGTGTCAAACCTCTCCCCGCCGCCAACGTCGTACTTGCCGTCCTGCTGAACACAAACATTGATAATTCAGCCACAGCAACTGTAGGTCTGAGGAGCTGATCAAACGGAAACATGAATCATGAATCATGACCTGCTGAAAAATAGATGAGTCAAAGCACCGACGGAATACTGAATTAGTCTGAGTGGTGACCTCAGGGAGTCTCCAGGCTCAACCCTCCTAAACAACACTCAGAATCCAGCTATCAATATAACAGTCTGCACATATAAATGACTGAAGATGAGTTCTCCCACCTGGTAGCGTATCATGACATGGGTGACCTTGGTCTTGCGGTCCACATTCTCATGTTTCTCCTCATTGGTGAGAACTGAGAGGACAAAGTCTCCCGGTTTGCTCTGGCTTTCCCGGACCAGGAAGCTGCCGGCTTTGCCTTTGTCTGTGAGCAGCTTCTCTGCATCTCGTCCAAAGAGGTGTCCATGGTACCATCTGGAGAGGAGAGAGACACTTCATATTATAATAAGACATGGATAAAGACACAGGGTTTAATGGCAAGAATCATCCATCCATCATCTATACACCGCTTAATCCTCACTAGGGTCGTCTCGTGCTGAGGTTAATTGGTGATTGTAAATTGTCCGTAGGTGTGAATGTGAGTGTGCTTGGTTGTCTGTCTCTAAGTGTAGCCCTGTGATAGACTGGTTACCTGTCCAGGTGAACCTGCCTTCACCCTGAGTCAGCTGGGATAGACTCCAGCCCCCCGATACTGAGGATGTAGCGGATAATATGGACGATGGATGGATGGATGGAAACCACAACAATAATTTTTCACCTACCAAATCACAAATTTAAATAAAATATCAGTTTATCTTCAACATTAACTCTCAGTAATGTTCAGGGTGTTATTCAGGGTCACAACGTTTCCCTGTCGACATGATGTCAGTATCTGCAGCATCAGTACCAGATGTGTCACAACGATAACAAAGAGAGATAACAAATAAATACAAAAGGGAGAAAAGAGTGGTTTAATCCAATGCGTATTATTAATCGTTTTGTTCACCGTCTGCTTCGGCTACCACCAGGAGATTGAGCGAGTCAGCCTCAGGCTAGATGTTGCTGCAAGGCAGAAGAACTGACGCGACACGTGACAAGAGTTGAGACAGAAACTTGACCAACTGAGGGGGAGGACTAAGTGAAATGTTTCCTGTGTCAAGGGAAAATGTTGCTGTACCGTATGTTTGAGGTTTAACATAAAGCCCGTCTCAACGTGAGCGCAGACTCCTACTCAACAACGATAGCGTCTCTTATGTTGCTGCAGCCTCACTTGGTTACTGATGTTCACATGAAAAACCTGCATGTGTGCATTTTTTTCCTGTGTGGTGAGCAAGAACGCGTAGGAAGCTCTGACAAGAGACGCATGTAGAATGGAAAAACCACACAAACCAAAACCAGAGATCACAAGTCGTTCTTAGACCTAAATAGCAACTGAGATGCACATGTGCAGATGTATGGAAAAGGAGAGGGGACACTACCTGCACAATTATACCAGATTGTTTTGTTTCCAAATTATGATAGAAATGTGATCATTTTGCTTTTCAAAAAAGCTTCCAGGAAGTGCACGGTATTAACACAACAGCTGCACCAGTCTCCCATTTCAAAAAAAAGGTGTAGGTGTAATGAAGTGTGTAGCTGCCTGTCACCCGTGTACACTCTGAAGGATGCTGTGGTGTGGATACTTGGTGAGCACAGCAGCATCACCAACATGGTTTAAACATGCATTTGGGAATTTGCCACTATTTATGCATTTGAGATGTGAATCCATCTGAGTTTACCTTGTGGGAGTCTGTGTGTACACAATAGCACATCACCTCTACTTAGTGTGTGTAATCATGCATGTGGCCTGGTACATAATGAATGAGTTCATGGCTCATTCTATTGAGCAGTTCACAAAGTGGAGACGTGGGCCTGGACGGTCATTCAATGCTGTGATCTAAAGGCTTTTAGTGGAGCTGCATTGAGACAAACTGTATTCACTTTGCTTTAGTTTCAGGATAACATCATCGCTGTTTTAGCTCATTCTCAGTCACAACAGGCAGCAAAGTGAGCAACTAACACCTGAACATAGTGGTGCACAGAGCAACTAAAAGACCACGCATGCTTCTGGAGCTAGTGAAGACAAAGGTAAAGCTAAAATGATTTTAAAGTATGTTTCTGCCTTTAAAATGTTCCCTTTTAGCGACGTGATCCATACAAGTGGAGAGGTAGACATCAGGTCTATAATTCTATAGATGATTTGCCATCATAGACTGTATAAAAGATGGACGTAGCTACCATGACGTCACCCGTTGGTTTCTGCACTGAGAAAATGAAGCCAGGGTTTTGCTACTTCCTGGTTGACAGCTTGGATTTTTGGAGCCAAAAATCGTCGGAGGGGGGCGGAGCCATAGGAGCAGCGACTGGTCAGACGGATTGAGAGGCGGGCCCTCTCTGCCCGCCCACATTTACTGCCTTCTGTTCGCTTCGTTTGCATCGTTGCTGCCGACTGTCAATCAAGCCAGCCACGCCCCTTACCCCGCAAAATGCTGACGATTTTTTAAAAATTCAGTATTGATTTATTTTCAGATTGGCCACCTGATCTCTGGATTTGACCATGAAAACTAATAAGAAAAAAATCCTGAGCTGTAGGAATGCAGTATTTCATGATCTGTGATCACTTCTTTTCCAATTCCAGTCTATGGGAGCCAGGGCTTTTTGGAGCCAGCAGCTAGAGGACGTAGTGATATTGCAGGTTTTTGACACTTCCGGGTTGGCTTCATTTTTCAGGGCCGGTTGCTACTTCCACATTTTATACAGTCTATGTTTGCCATACAGGGATATTTACTGAGATGCAAATGTATTTGTTGTCGTACATCATAGCCCTGTGATGATAGCTCAAAACATGAAAGGGATCTAGATTCTGTTTCTGATTAAAATCTCTGAATATTTAACTTGGAAAGATGTCTCAATAAGTTATTTTTCTCATTGTTGCTGTACTAGTGGTTTTCCTCCACTGCTTCTTAGTGAAGTTCTTTACTGACATCTTTACCGTTGAGGCCTTTATAGGTTACAGATACTGGAATGGCTTCATAACAATGCAAAGCTTTAAGCTATAACAGTCAGTATAACAAACTGAATGTCCTGAATCAAACAGATTTGGTCCAGAGATTTGTTCACAAACAGAAACAAAGGGAGTTTAGACCATTACTGCTGCAACTAGATCAGTGGTTCTCAGGTGTTTTAGCTGCTTCTCATGGCAGGAGGAGACTTCACACTCTGACACCCTGAAGCTACCACAATCACAACAACTGTCTGTGGTGAGAAATAAACTTTCATAATGAGTTTGAATAAATCATGTCAAGCTGACCTCAGATAAGTTTACAGCTATATGTGTGTGTCTGTCCACACAGTGCTGAGCTGTATGCAAATGTGAGCTCTCAGCATGTGTGGGTGTTGGTGTGTACGTTTATCAGCACCTCTCAGAGGTGGGGTCCTTGCAGTTGAGTGGATACTTGAGCTCGATGACATGGCCGTTCCTCTCTCGCAGGAGATCCTGCTGCTCAGTGTAGTACTGGACCAGCTCGGCCAGCGTGGCAAACTTCTCGCCTCCGTACAGGTCATAGTAGTCGCCTGAGTTCTGAATCTTGATGTGGGTCACCTCATCGCTACGTCTGAGAAGGAAAAAAAAAACACAAATTATTTATCATGTAAACAGTTGACTCACTCCACAGAAGCATCTATTGTTCCATGTTTTTCTTTTCAGTGGTGCCCTGCAGAGATTCACCTGCTAAAACACACAAACAGCCGCCCACACACATGCCCATACAGCCCGGGTTCACTCACACAGCATCAATGTATGTACACCACTAACACGTCAGGCTGATCGGCCACCTGCTCCCGCTTCAACACTCATTCTCCTCCAACCTCGTTAAAGCAGATCAGACAACAATATTTCAACTGTCTCCCATCAGTTAATCTTTCTTACTGTGTTTGTGACACATGAGTATCTGTAATTAAGTGAAATAAATTAATGGTGATGAATAGAATAAAATAATTGTTTTTTTTCCCATCTGGGGAATCGTAAATGAGCCATTACAAGAAAGAACAATGCAAGAAACAAATGTAAAAACACAGATGCATTTCACCACAAACACATTGTTTGTCACGTTGACTTCCACAAACAAAACAGCACAAATCTTCCCAACAAAGGATCATCCTTTGTTTTTTTTAATACCCTGTAGTTTTCATGTGTATTTGCAGGACGGCCGTAGCGTGATGAGTACAGTGGAAGAAAAAAGTACGCAGATGGCGAGTTCAGAGACTGATAAGCCAGAATGCATTTGGTACCACTTTGCATATTCAAAGTCCTCTGGCTGGTTTGAATAGATGGACGTGAACACACGGACATTCGCGCACAAACATATAGAATCTATAAGATGTCTGCCTGGAAGCAAAGGAAGGAGGAGAAGCAGCTCGACAGCTCCTGTGACGTTCTCCTGTACATTCTGTAAATATATGAAGTTCGTTAACACACAACAGATCTGGAGAGTTATCCATCCCATCGGATACCATCTGATCTGCAGGGCGAGATAGAACAGCCTCCTTTCTCTCTGTCGACCTGATTATCAGCTAATGGTCATATCAAATGACACAAATCCTATTTTCCTCCATCACTTTTCATGTTGTCCTAATGAATTTCACATCCCTTTTTCTTCCTTTCCATCCTCCCACTCAGCACACTATCACTCCCCCCCTCGTCTCTCACTGTTTCCTGGTAATTGCTTTATGGCTCTATTAGTGGCTGGGGCTGGGTGCCACAGGTCTACGGCCCGTTACAGGCCCCTCCTCGGCTCTCAGGCCAAAGCCCCTCTTTCCCTCTGAGTTTAACACCATTAGCTCTGGAATGAGCTGAACACATTCTATTAGATTTTCATTCACTTTCCGACTCTCCCACTTTCACACATTGATAACTTGTGGATTTATTACAATACTGCGGTCTTCTTTACAGTTAAAATGCAGGGAGAAAGGATAGCAGAACAACACCGAACAGATTACTTCATATGAGATTCTGTGTTTTGTGAAAAGGGGTAAATAGAGAACTACATCCAAATGGCGTTTTTGGCTCTTGAGTGGCGATCACCATCACCATTTTCCCACCTCTTGTAAAAAAAAGATTCTATGACACCCCCCAACCCAGAGGGAACAACCAAACAGTCTCCAGGAGAGATTGTGGCCTCAGACTTAGAGGTGCTGCCTCTCATCCCGGCTGCTTCACACTCAGCTGCAAAGTCCCAGCTGAAATCCCCAAACCGGAGACTATCCTCACCCCAGCAGCGACTTGAGATCCTGTCCATGAACATCACAGGCATGTTGATGCTGATGCATGCGTTTGACCTTTCAGTTAGTGAATACATCAGGCCATTTAGAGTGACTATGCATTCCAGTATTTTTTGGACTGAAACCTAGAAGCAGCAGCTGGGTTCTGTGTTTGGCCTCCAGTCCTGTAGCTTTCTCTGCTTGCCGGTCTTTGTTCGGCCCACTGCCCTGTGGTTTTGGTGAGTAATGTTGCATTTGTGTCAACAGATTAATCCCCGCTTGTGCGATTAGCATCACAGCAGGAGGAATGAACTGCTATTTCCATTTGTGCTGGAGTTACTCGGCTCCTTTTTGACGAGGCAGTTCTTGTTTTGGTAATATTGCTTCTAGTGATGCTCACCTTTTTTGCCTACAGTAGATAATAAATGATCACACTTTACTGATATATCACTGTTGTGACTTTGATTTGGAGACCGTGGCAATAACATCTCTCATACTTTATCACCGCACTCCCACATCCCTGGAGAAGACGTAACCCTATGCATCATTTCTGTCTCACCTAAATGCAGACAGATGTTCTCAACGTTTAGACGCCATTAAATTCTGCTCATGATGCTGTATTCAATCTTCAAAAACGGGCGGTAACACTTCTGTTGTCATTCTTGTACATGACAGAATCGTATTTACCTGTAAAAAGGATTAAAACCAAACATGCATGTTCTGTCATATTAAACATGTTTGGGCCTCATACCTTCAAAAGTTCTCATAGTGACCTCTATGAGAAGTTGTTCTTCCTGCCTTGTTCCCAACAAAGTCCTGCCTGATTATTTCCACGGCAGAAGGTTAATGCCCTGAAGCAGCACGTCTGGAAACGGCACTCTCAGATTCTGCTCACAACCGTTTGGTTTTAATGCTAACATGATGCTCTGCTTTAGCACCGTGGTTCCACATAATTACCACTAAAGATATGTGAAATAATTATCAAATGGCAAAAAGTACAAATGTAAGATCATCACTACAAATGAAACTAAATAACTTTAAATTTCATCGTGACAGGAGGAAAACTACGGTTCAATACAGCACATTGTTGGGATATGACCTGTCTTTACTTGTGTATTTAGTCCGACAGTGACGTGCCTCCTACTTTATTGGAAAAACGAATGCAGCAGATACAATCGATCATGCTACGAACAGGTTCACATCGAGGGGACCGATGTCGCCCTTCACAGCGCCTTTCTATCTGATCTCTGCGTTGTTATTTTGCTGCAGCTTAACAGACAGAGCAGCAAACAGATCACATCCATCCATCGCATTACGTGTTAAAAATGATCCACATTCTAGCCAAAGCACAAACAGGGACTTTCAGTAATAAACAGTGTTGAGATCAATGTGGCTAAACTGATGAATACACTGACAAGAAGTACACAAACATGGACAATTGGGAAATAAATTGCTCAAAAATGCACATATTTATGCATATATAAACATTAGAATCTATAAGTTACTGCTTGCTTTGCCCTGAAGTTATTCCAAGCAACATTTTTCCTCTTAATACAGCCTGAGAAATCCCTCATGCTGTCCTATAAGGGATGGCCGGGTGGTGGGGAGGCACACATGCACGCAGGAATAATCTGGTTCATTTACATTGCTCCCCACATTACACAAGACACTTTGGGCTGGCTTTACATGGTCTTTAAACAACCAGAGCAAAACAACATTAAAAAAAAAACAGCAGTTAACAAAACCAATCTCGAGGTGTTTAGCCGTGGGCGGCCCCTGTCTAGACCTGGGTCTGCAGGCCTTATTCACCTGAAGGCTCCTCTACAGAGCAAACCATGTGTGTACATTATCATATCAATTAGCAGCATCAATTAGCCCTGCATGTTAATATTTGTATGTAAAAATAATCAGAGCTGATTCTAGTTGTTATTTTAATTGTTCCCACACAGAAACTTAAACAACACAGGTTGTTCAGGTGCTTACAGATGAGTCTTTAAATACAGTGCAAACCTCCCCTCTGCCTTCTGTCCAACAACCAGGCAGCCAACCCGTACCATTAAGACTGTTAATTAAGATGGGATCTTCCTGTTCAACCTGGTGATGACAGAGTGGCACACATCTGGATAGCAAATAATCAGAAATGTAACTGAATACATTCACCTGAGTGTGGAGCTCCTCTGTGTGGTTACTTCTGATGAAACAGTTTTTATCCCTCTGCCATAACTTTACTGAACAGCTGAGCCACTCCAAGCCACAACTGCTAATTGCACTTCCATTTTGCACCAATGTACATATACCTTTTCTACTAGATGTGTAAATTCTTGTATATATTTGTCTTATTATCTTGTTTTATTTTTTATTAATATTTATTGTATTTTATTCTTTTCTTTCTGTAGTTCCATCCATCCATTTTCTATACA